TGCAATGATATTGGGGTGGTAAGTATTTCAAGAAACCCTTCATACCTTGGCTACCAATACTTTAAGACTAAAGAGTGAGTATATATTATATTTATAAGTTAGGTTATAGTATATTTTTATTTTTCAACTATTACAAATAGCAGCACTTGATATTTTATTTTATTTTTTTGTGTAATATTTTTTTAAAACATTTGAAAGTAGTATAATGTTGTTCATAATGTTAACAAAAATTAATTTTAACCTGACTCAAAAAAAATAATAACAAAATTTTTCCAACATTTGAGGCCCAAGATTCCACTTTTGCACTTTTCCCTTCATCCACTTTGGCTTTTTTATTTTATTTTTTTCACTTTTCCACTTTTCTATTCGGCCACTCGCTACAACTTTATTTCTTGATTTTGAAATTTCTTTGAGACTGAAACCTCTTACTTTCTCTCCTTCTCTAAGTTTTAACCCTTTTTAGTGTTGCCATCTTTTGGATCGTAAAAAAGTGTATACCAAACAAATTGTAATTCAAGATTTGATTAAACTTTTCTTTCATGCTAAATAGCATAGTTTTTAATTCTATTCTCATTCTTTTCTTATTTTATTCCCGCTAAAGTGCTGGTGCGGGAGATATTACATAATTCTATAGACAGTGAATTTTCGGGAAAATAAATTCCCATATCATTTGACTTCTAAATGCATTTATTAGTTATTCACTCTTCCTATCTCACATTTTTCTGTCTTTTCACATCCAATTGCTTCTTTTTTTTCCTCCCAAGTCTCAATTAAGAGCACAAAAGAGATGCCCTTGCTTTAGTAAGCTTTACTCACTTTACTCTCATCACCAACCAAGAGAGAACTGTATTGTGTTTTATTCAAGAGAATAGCAATAAAATCTCAATACATAAAGAATTCATAATAATTAGATCTTTGATTAAATTTTCTGCAAAGTGGGTTATAGATATTGATTTAAACAATTAAAAACAAGAATCTCAATGGTAAATAATGAGTTATATTACAATTTAAATGTTTCATTTGCAATTAAGACTCTTAAATTTACAAGTATAAGTCTGAATTAATATTTATAATTTATTATTAAAAAAATTTATCAAGAAGCTAATAATCATAAATGTATTATTTCAAGACTTTATTGTCATTCTCTCTTTTATTTGAAAGCTTGTGTTGGAGTTTTCTGTGATGTTCTCTTTCCAGTTTATATATATTCTCTATGATTTTTGTTTGTTCTCTTTATAGCTCATATGCATTCTTTATGATTCATGTTTGTTGCCCAAAAACTCAATAAAAAAAAAATAGAGAACATGATGGAGTAAAGTTGGTTTTGTATAAATATTAATAAGATGATTATATTAAAGAGGTTGGCATTTTAGAAGAGGAAAAGACATAACTAACTTTAAGTCCCTAGAAGAAGAGTGGGTACTTGATAATAATAAAAAGATATTTGGAAGTTATGCCAATGTGAGAAATGATTGAACTAAAAGATAAGAGTTGTCAACAACATTTTCAATAAGGATAAAAAAAATTGAAATCAAATGAGGATCTTGATAGAATGTGAATAAATAAATTGATCAAATTTAGAGAAAAGGATACAACATAAGTAGAATTACATTCACTTGTTCAAGGTATGAAAGCCATGAACTTATAGTTCAAACACATGAAGCGCAATATTATACATAAGCATTTGTGCAAAAGAAAAAAATATAAAATGTCACATGTAAAGCTTGACTTTCAATATAAGAATATCTTGCAATGATTCAAAATAAAGACTAGTGTATTATTTTGTGATGGATGAAATAATTTTTTGACATTATTTGTCTAGTAATATAAAAATCTGATATGCGTTTAATGAATGCTAGCTTATTAATATAGTTTTCTGTATAGTCATATTTTCTTGAAAGTTTCAAAAGATTCAATATGAAAAAAGCTTATCAAGATTCTTGAGAAATTTCCTTCATTCATATGATTATATATAAAAGTTCATTGATTGAACATCATTGAATATATCTTGAAGATTTTACATGAACACTTGATTGTTAAAGAATTAGATGTTAAGATATTGGGTAATTAGATGTGAATCAAGATAATTTTTTCATCAAGAGGATAACGAAATATGGTCTAGAAGCACCACATATGAATGCTTTCATATCACAATTTATGATATTGCAATGATTTACAATGAAATTATGTATTTGATATGATACACCTGAGAAATTATTATGTATGGTTGCTTAATTTAGTTATAATCAAAATTAATTGATTACACATATGTATTACATATGTCTAGTTTGGACCATAAAATTTGACCATCAAGAGGTTATTTATTTGTGAAAATATATGTATATCAAGATTTTTTTCTACTCCATAAGATATACCACAAGTGGAAAAATGTCTTCACATTATGTGTGAGTGTGTGTGAGGGATGTTTCAAAATATTATACAAAGACAATGATTTATATATAGTCTAGCTATAAGAGTATATCAACTCACAAACCTAAAAGAATCGGCAATAATAATATTCAAGAAATTGACACATAATTTAGAATACAATAACTTAAGATGACTCGAAAACATGGAATGATATCATCATCAGGAGTAGTAAAAGTTAAAATGTACTATTTTTTTTCTTAACCAAGGTTTTATTCCATTAAATTTTTCTAATAAAGTTTTTAACAAGGTAGCTTCAATAAATATGATGATATTATGTATTCTTTTTTCTTCACTAAGGTTTTATTCAATTGAGTTTTTCTTAGTAAAGTTTTAATGTGACACAATATATGGACATCTAAGAGGGAGTGATATGAATATTAAAATATTATGTGGATATCTATTATCTCATATTCTTCAAATATCTTTCGATTATTATAATATTTTTTAGTTATTATTATCTTGTATATTTTATTTACTTTAATTGATATATTTGTGTTTTTCAATAAAAGTCATTTTAATTATATTCTATACACTAAAATAAAAAATTTTTATTTTTTTTATTCTTTTCGCATATTTTTCTCTCTTCTATCTTCCACACAATCTCTATTTTCATAACGAAGATAAAGATAAAGATTTAAGTATAGCTGAAAAACAAGGAGCCAGCATATTACTTTTCCACTTTTGTCTTCAATCACTTCGGCTTTTTCTTTGCCACTTTTCTACTTTTCTATTTAGACATTTGCACTTTATTCCTTGAATTTGAAATTTCATTAAAATTTAAACCTCTTGCTTTCTCTCCTTCTCTTTTAACCCTTTTTACTGCTGCCATCTTTTGCACAGTAAAAAAGCGTATGCCAAACGGATTTTAACTCAATATTTAATTAAAATTTTCTTGCATGCTAAACAGCATAGTTTTTAATTCTATTTTCATTCTTTTCTCATTTTACTTCCGTTAAAATGCTAGTGTGAGAGATATTACATTATTCCATAGACAATGAAATTTTAAGAAAGTAAATTCTCGTATTGGCTTTTAAAATCATTTATCTCTCTCTCTCTCTCTCACAAAGAGATAGAGACACACAAAGAGATTCCTTTGCTTTAATAAGTTTTACTAACTTTGCTCTCGTCACCAACCAAGAGGGACAACTGCACTGTATTTTATTCAGGAGGATGACAATAAAAGTTCAATATATAAAGAATTTATAATAATTAGATGTTTGACAAAATTTTTGCAAAGTAGGTTATAGATATTAATTTAAACAATTGGAAATATCAATCTCAAGTATATTAGTGAGTTATATTTATAATTTAAATGTTTTAGTTATAATTAAAACTCCTAAATTTTCAAATATACGTTTAAATTAATATTAGTAATTTATTTTTAAAAAAAATTAATTGGAAAGCTATCGATAATAAACTTACTATTTCAAAAGGCTCTATTGTCATTCACCCTTTTATTTAGGAGCATGTGTTGGAGTTTCTCCTGACGTTCTCTTTAATAGTTTATATGTATTCTCTATGATTTTTGATTGTTATCCAATATGCTAAGTGATGCTTGTTGCCCAAAAACTCAATGTGTGAATAGAGAATATGATGGAGTAAAGTATGTTTTGTATAAATATTAATAAGGAAGCCTTGTTGATTTAATTTTTTTTCAGAAATAAATTGATGGTTTTACTTCAAATAAAGTGCTGAGGGCTAAATGTGAATAACATAATACACAAAAACTGTATGCCCTCTGTCAGTGCCTTAACTTTCCACTTTTCCATATTAAACATCTAACAGATGCAATATTAAAGCGTCTTTTCCCCCTTCTTACACAAATTTATAACATCTAGATAATTGATATATGTATATAAACCGGACCATAATATATAGAGCAAAATACATTTATGTCCTGTATATTTTATGTTAATTACAGATATCTCACTTCTATTTTAAAAACCTATATAAGCATCCCATTGAATCAATAATCACAAAGCACAAACCTATCTCCTACTTTACAAGTTTTATTTATATTCACTCAAACTGTTAGTTAATCATTAAATCATATTTATTGAACTACAATACTCCTCTTTAAACATAAATATTATTTAAAAATATTTAAAATTTCAAAAAATTAATGCATATATATTTTTTACTTTTATATTCATATTTTACTTTTAGTTATGTGAAATTATTTATTTATTAATTTTTTACAAAATAAATACACAAGTTGGCTAAGATATTATCTCAAACACGTGTAAAAAAATTTAATGAAATAGGCATTTAATATAATTAGAAATAACTCAGTTAATAAATTAATGTTGATTTTTATGTAAATTTCATCGATCTCAAACAAATCTTTTAAATTATTTAATTAAATATTATCATAATAAATTATTTAAATTTCATTAAATTTGTGAAGAGAGAAAATATACAATTCAATTCTAAAAGCAAATTAATAATTGTAAATTCTTATGCATTAAGGTCTCATCTTTAATTTAGTCTTGTGGTACAGATGAATGTCAAATTCGCTCGTGCCATTTTTTCTGGGGAAGCGTGCCACCGAAAGATCATGGGAAAATGAATGATGGTGTGTTGTCGCGCAGATTGAACGGAGATGTTGCCGGGGATGGCCTACCATATTGAAATTACACGTCCTTCTAATCTTCATTGCAATTACCCTCTCTTGTCTTTTCCTGAAATATATAAGAAATTCATTTAACTTCGTCTTCAAGTGTTCTCTCGATCAATCCAAAGCCAGCTTCTCACTCCATCGCTTCCTTCAAACTCTCTTCTTTCTCAGTCGCTTTGAGTTCCGAAACAAAACAAGGCATGGCTGCAGCAGCTGTGGGACAAGCTTTGCTCTCTGCTTCTGTCCAGACCTTACTGGATAGGATCACCTCGAGCGAGTTTCGAGATTTCATGAACAACAGAAAGCTGAATGTCTCTCTCATGGATGAGATGAAGATTACTCTGTTGATGCTCGATGCTGTCCTCAACGACGCAGAAGAGAAGATGATCACAAACCATGTAGTCAAGGAGTGGCTTGAAGAGTTGAAAGATGCTGTCTATGATGCGGAGGATTTACTGGATGAGATCAACACTGAGTCTCTCAGATCCAAGGTTGGAAAAGATTCTCAAAACGTCGCTAACAAGGTGCGATCCTTCTTTTCTTCTTGTTTTGATGAATTTAATTGGAGGATGAACTCCAGGCTAGAAGCAACATGCCGAAGGCTCGAACACTTTGCCAAGCAGAAGGATATCCTTGGTTTACAAAGCGTTAGCGTGGGAGTGCATAAAACACCTTCAACTTCATTGGTAAATGAATCCGATGTGGTTGGTAGAGAGGATGATAAGGAGAAGCTAATGAAAATGCTTCTGGGTGATGAAGATCCAAAGGGTAATGGCATAGGAGTGATCACTATCTGGGGAATGGGAGGGTTGGGTAAAACCACCCTTGCTCAGCTCCTTTACAATGATGAGAAGGTGCAGAAGCATTTCGATTCGAAGGCTTGGGCATGTGTTTCGGATGATTTTAGTGTTTTAGAGGTGACAAGGAATCTTCTTGAGTCCGTCACTTCAAAAGTCTATGAGAGTAAAAATCTAGACTCTCTTCGTGTTGAATTAAAAAATAGCTTGACTAATAAAAGGTTTTTGATCGTGTTGGATGATTTGTGGAATGAGAAATATAGTCATTGGGAGGACCTTGTAACCCCTTTTCACAGTGGAAGAAGGGGAAGCATAATCATCGTAACAACTCGTCAAAAAAGAGTTGTTGAAATCACACACACCTTCCCTGTACATGAGTTGCGTTGTCTCTCGGATGATAATTGTTGGCTTTTACTCTCGAAGCATGCATTTGCAAATGAAGATCCGAACAAATATCCAGAGCTAGGAGCAATCGGTAAGCAAATTGCAAGAAAATGTGGTGGCCTCCCAATTGCTGTCAAAACCATTGGAGGTCTTTTGCGTTCAAAAGTGGATGAAAAGGAATGGAATAAAATTCTAAATAGCAACCAGTGGGACATACCAAATGATGATGTTATGCCTGCTTTGCGTCTGAGTTATCTCTATCTTCCATCACATTTGAAGAAATGCTTTGCTTATTGCTCAATCTTCCCTAAAGATATGTTGCTAAAGAAAAAGAAATTGGCCTTGTTATGGATGGCAGAAGGCTTTGTACACCAACAATCCCACGGGGAGAACACATATGAAATGCAAGCAGATGACTACTTTGATGAATTATTGTGTAGGTCATTCTTTCAACAAGATGGTGGTGATCGAAGAAAGTTTGTCATGCATGATCTCATCAACGATTTAGCCAAAGTTGTATCTGGAAAGAGTTGCCTATGGTTTGAAGGCCAAAAAATTTCAAAACCTACTCTTCGTCATTTATCATATCCTAGGCAACAGCATGACGGCTCTAAAAGGTTTGAGAACTTTTATCAATTAAATTGTTTGAGGACTTTTTTACCCCAATCTATATACGGTGAGATAATATGTTGTTCATTGACCAGAAAGGTACCACAGGATTTGTTGCCAAAACTAAAATGTTTAAGAGTACTATCTTTGTTTGGCTATCAAAATGTCAATGAGCTACCTGATTCAATTGGTAATTTGCAACATTTGCGATATCTAGACCTTTCTTGGAGTGGAATTGAAAGATTTCCTGATGCGGTCTTTACACTTTACAATTTGCAGACATTGCTTTTATCAAATTGTCATTGTTTTAAGGAATTGCCGGGAAAGATAGAAAGGCTTATTAATCTACGTCACTTGGACATTAGTGGCACCGCTTTAAAGGAGATGCCTGGACAAATTACAAGACTAGAAAATCTTCAAAGTTTGAGTAACTTTATGGTGGGCAAACAACCGACTGGATTGGGAATTAAAGAGTTAAAAAAGCTCCCTTGTCTGGAAGGTAAACTTTCCCTTTCAAAACTAGAAAATATTGTTGATTCAATGGATGTTTTGGAGGCAAACTTGAAGAGGAGAGACAAAATCAAGGAGTTAGTGTTGCAATGGGATTGTGATGCTCAAGATTCACAAATTGTGAAAAATGTCCTTAGCATGCTACAACCTTCAACAAACTTACAGCGATTGACCATCAACCATTTTGGTGGCACTAACTTTCCGGATTGGGTGGGAGATTCTTCATTCAAGAATATTGCATATTTATCAGTGAGTGATTGCAAGTATTGCATTTCGCTCCCGTCATTTGGACAATTACCTTGTCTCAAAGAAATTGTTATTAAAGGAATGGAATTAGTACAAAGAGTTGGACGTGAATTCTATTGCAGCAAAGGAGAGTCCTCTTCGTTTCAACCATTTCCATCCTTGAAAATTCTAGAATTTAGAGATATGCCTGTTTGGGAGGAATGGATATCGTTTGATGGTGAAGGTGTGAAATTTCCTTTTCCTCATCTCGAACGGTTGAATTTATATGATTGTCCTATGTTGAAAGGAGACGTGCCTCATAACCTTCCATCATTGACAAAAGTTTCTATTTCTAATTGCAAACGGTTGGACGCAAAATCAACAGCTTTGCATTGGATTGCATCTATTGAAGAATTAAACATTGAGCAAGGGGAACAGGGGTTGTTGGGAGCTCTTGATGATTATTCTCTGGACTCTTTGAAATCCATAACAATTGAGAAGTGTGATTGCTTGCGGTCATTTCCAAGAATGATAATAGATAGCCACGTTCTTGTAAAGTTGTCTCTCTATGATATTCCATCGGTCATGTCCTTTCCAATTGAAGGTTTGCCTGCTTCTTTGCAACGTCTTCTAATTAAACATTGTGAGAAGTTAGAGTTCGTACCTCAAGAATCTTTACAAAACTGCACATCACTTGAAGTCTTGTGGATTGAGAATAGTTGTCGTTCCTTAGCATCCTTTCCATTAGGTTGTTTTCCCAAGCTTAAACACCTTAGCATTCACAAATGTCATAATTTGGAGACCTTTACAAATGTTGGGGGTTCTACTCTTCCCTTGGAAACTTTTTCGATTCAAAGTTGCAAAAAACTTAGATCAATGTCAGAAGTACACATTGATTCCCTTGCCAACCTTCAAAGTTTTCAACTAACAAGGTTTCCGAATTTGGAATCATTGCCTCAAGGTGGTTTGCCTTCTAATTTACGATCTTTGGAAATTAATGACTGTGAGGGACTATCTTGTATACCAATTGAAGATTGGGGTTTTCAACGGCTGACTTCTTTCTCAACATTGTGGGTTGAAGGTGATGGAAGTGAAACTATACTCCATAATTTACTAAACAATCAATCACTGCCCAACTCTCTTTTGGATATCTACATAGGGGACTTCTCTAATCTTAAACGGTTAGATGGAAAAGGGCTTCGGCACCTTACTTCTCTCGAACTTCTCTCCATCAGGAACTGTCCAAACCTTGAATCCTTGCCAGAAGATGCGCTGCCACCCTCTCTTCTTGAGCTAGATATCAGCGAGTGTCCTAAATTAGAAGAAAGATATAATTTTGAAGGAGGAAAACACTTGTCTGACATCTCTCATATTCCAACCGTAATAATTAATGGTGAAGTACTATGATCTTGGAGATGGTGCGGCATTGCGTCAAAAGGTGAGCTCTCTAATTCCAAAACAATCAAACTTTTTAGTATTGTTTTCCCACAAATAGTTTTTTCCTTTTTTTCCATTTCCACTATACATAAAATTTTTGGTCTTCCCTTCATAATTTTTATTTTGGTCTTCCCTTCATAAAACATTAATTATAGGAAACATCTTACTTACATCATATATACCTCAAGTTGTAAAATTTTCTTAGCCAAGGCCACCAATGCTTCTTCAATTTTTATTTTCTCGAAAAACTTATAACCCTGTGAAACTTGTGGTTTAATTTAGAGTACTATACTTTCTCATCAAAATAAATATAAATAATAACAATAATAATAATATCACTGTTGATAATGTTTGCTATACTATTTGTGCACATCTGAAGAGTGAAAGAGAATTATAGATGGCATCATTTTTTGTTTGAAATGGTCAATTAATTATCAAGTCACTAGTGATATGAGTTAATTATAAAAGTTGAAGAGATTTAGAGCGATATCTAATTAGTTGACTCGTTGTAGCATATTTAATATCTGTGCTTGATTAGATATTTTTGAACCCGATGCATATATATTTGTAATGAGATATGAGTTCTAATATATGTACGTATGTATGTTAAGTAGCTTTAATTTCTGATTTTATAAGATTTATTGTTTTGATAAATTAGGTTAAAGAAGATGAGGAAGCAGTCAAAAAGAGACAAATATGATATGCAGGGAAGGCAGGGAAGAAGCTAACCCAGACATTGTTGAGGCTAAGTACAGGTCTATATTTTTAATGTTTAATGATTTTTTATAAAAAATATGTAAAAGCGTTTCAATGGATTTGATTCTTTATTTTTATATTATTAAGTTAGAAAATATGAAAGGAGTTCACAAGAATTGCTCAACTTTCAGCACCAAGAGCTGGTGAGAAACTAATTAATCCTCTCTTCATCTTCTTGAAATTCATAACTAATTAATGATAAGTGTGTGTGTGTGTGGACACACAACACACTTTATGGTGAGTTCCTTTTTCAGATTTATTTTGGTAAAAGATGATCTTGGTATGGTTGAGATTTATTGTATTTTAAAATTATATATACTAATTCCAAGGTTTTTAATTTAATAAAATCATTATATGAAAATTCAAATCAACAAAATATCCTAGTTTTATATATATTCACCCATTATTTATAAAAGCCAAATTTAAAGTTTAGCTGAATGTTTTTCTTTTAATTGGATATTGCCCTTAACTTTTTAATTACTTACTCTAAAATTTCATTAAGTAGAATATTATAGGCTTTTCAATATGCAAAGCAATGGCCAAGTGTCTACTGAAAATATCACATGTCAGGTAATACTTATAGTTAAAAGAAAGTAAACCACCTTTTAATTGTTGTGATTGAAAGCTTCCTAGAGTTATCAAATCTAATATGATATTCTGGTTTGAAAATTCTTGTTCAAATAGGTGAAGAAATCAATTAGAATTGCTCTGTTTTAAACAGAGTCATATGAGAAGCGAAGAAGGCAGGTAAAAAACTGATTCAACTGTAATTACTTTATCTCCTTATTTATGTAATATCAATCCCACAATTAAATGAACATAAAGCAGATTTTTTAGCTATATACATATATTTATATATAACTTCCACTTTATCTGGACAATCTATTAATGTAAAACCAGTACTCCATTGATGTTCATTTTTTGTACAGTTGTGCAGAAAGTTGATTCTTGCGTGTTGCTTCCTTCACAATAGTCACGAGGCAGAATTTTATTTCCTCATCAATTTCTGTGTTACCTCAGCAACAATAAACACAACAAAGGTATGATATCTAGATTTAATATTAGATACTTAGTTCAGTTTATTGAGATTATTAGTGTCTTAATGAACACTCTTCTAATTTACCTGGACATTCCTCTGCATTGATTAATTCGCCACTTGCAATTCCCATATGCTCATTTTATTATATCAAGACAATGTCTTAAAATGAATATGATATTTTGATTTTGATAAATCAGGTCAAAAAATAGACGTGTGGTGTTACATAGAGCAAATTAAGAGTTGATAAGAAAGTAACGAACCCTGTATATGTTCATATATATAGAGTCTTGTAATTTGTAATTAAGCATGTTTTTTAATGTATTCCACTTTAAATAATAAGCATGTTTTTTAATGTATTCCACTTTAAATAATATGTTGTTTGCAGACCTCTACTGACATACATTTTTTCTTGAAGATTACATGACATACACACCTTCCAGGCATTTCAAGGTAAATGAGAAATTAATTTAGTCTCCATGAGCCTAATTGTTTAGTTTACTAATTCTAATATGTTAAGAATCTAACCTCTGACTTTTAGGCAATATTTGGTTATTAGTTTTGATGATAACGAGTAATATTAAAAATTTTTGAAATGATCATTGATATTTTTGGAAATTGAATCTGATTGATTGTGTTTATCAGGGAACAACAAATAATTGACAATGTTTATGGAGGAAATTAGCTGTTGGGACCAAGAAAAGAAGGAAAGTTAAACATGACAAAATACAAAAAGAGAACTGATGTTGATGAATGATTTACAAAGAGATGAGGATTGAATTTGAAGATGCAAGCAGATTAGTATTTAACCCAGCTTAATTGTGTACTTCCTAAATATCATTGCTCGAATTTGAGTATTTGGGTGCTTAGAATGTTTTTGCTACCTAGCCTTTTCAATAGAAATTTCTAATAAACTACTTTCACATTTGTTTTATTAGTTTTGGGTAAGTTGGGTAAAACCATGTATGCTAATTTTCGGTGAGTTTTGTTAAAAAAAAAAAATTAGAATTGTGAGTGAGCTCAATGTGTTACTTACAGGCATTGTAATTGGATTTTTATAGTGGGAAAATCTCTTGAGTGTTTCTCAAGAGGACTGGACGTAGGTCAGGGGACCGAACCAGGATAATTCTTGTGGTGCATGATTCTCTCTCTTCCAACTTCTCTCATTTATAAGCTAACTTATTTATCTACACATTTTATCTCTCACATAAACACTATCAAGATGTTTTAAACTTAACAAAATTAAATCATTATTAGAATTGTTGTTATCACTTATGTTAAATTTGGATTGTCCAAATTGCTGATTAAATTTAATAAAAAATTTATAATTTTTATTTAATATTTATAAAATTAAAATTAAAATTAATATATTTAATCTGAACCATTCAACTTAAATTTAAAGGGTTTAGGTTATTATGGATGGGAGCTGGGTGGGAGGAGGGAAGCTAGGTTCCGAAAGTTTTTGACATCAATTCTCAAAATAAGGCAAATAAAATAAATCACAATAAAGGTAATATGAAAAATGAATGAACTTTGTCATCTTTAATTATGATTTTTCAGCCTACAAGCCACAAAAAATAATTTTATTTCTTAAAAACTAAAACTTGATTAATATAATTCTTGAATATAGCATCCCAAGACTTTCAAGTCATCTCTTGGCTCATTGAACATAGCCAATGTTCTTATTTTCCAACATAATTATATGTCTATTCATTGTAGGTGAATTTTAAATTTAATTTTGTGTAATGACTTATTTATAATTACTTTTAGCCATATGGTATCAAAGCTCAATCCCAAACTCATTATTTTTACCTAATGAAAAATACCGCAATATTAGACTTGCATGATTGCCTAAATTGTTCAAACACATTATTTGTTCATATATCAAGAAATGGGCTTGGGCCCAAAATTTGAATAGAGAAAGAAAGCCAGTTTATAAGAGGCTTCAGTCTAACTAAAATGATCAATCACAATTTTCAATGTTTTTCAAACTTATATTTTTGGTAAATTCTTAAAACTAGAGCTAACAATATGGGTCAATTCCGACCATATGAGTTAACCTATATGGATTGAGTTAAGTTGTATCCATTTTAATATGAGTTAAAAAATTCTAACCCAACCCAATCTTTGAGAACTAATGGGTTAAAAGGGCTAATATGCTAACCCATTTTATTTTACTTTTCAATTTATTTTTTATATATGTTAGGAAAATGCACCTAAATGAACATGATGATAAGTTTCAATATAATATCATGGCATTATTTTTTTAATTTGTATTATATGAATTGAGCTAGCGGTCATGCCCATCAATTTATTAAAAGTCATAAATCTACAATATTTTCCATTTTTTACTTTATTTTTATTTTTTAAAAATGTTAAATGGACCGATTCTAACCCATCAAGGTTAGCCATATAGGTCATGGGTCATTTGGGCCAAGCCAGAAAACCCATTTTATTTGTGTTAATTTTGTTCAACCCAATCCAATTTTTATGACTGATTATTCAAGCTAGCACCTATAAATCAACCTATATTCTGAGCTCTATCTAAAACTTCATGGTTTTTCCCCAAACAAAAATCATGGATTTGAAAACTCAAAAAAGAAAGAAAGAAAACAAACAACACTTGCGTTAAATTATGACACATATTGCATTAATGTTACCTTAAACAAGAAGCACAATCCCAGTCAAGAAAAGTCCAGTAACTGTTTCATAAAATATTTATGTAACTACAATATTTTATTTCATTCCTTTTTTCATTTCCAAATAAATCATTCTTTTTCAGCATACCTGTAAATATTATTAGTGTTCGAATAGATGTGTAACGGATCCTTGTCCCAAAGCCCAAAAAAGAATAGATGCTTAAAGGATAGAATAGGATGAAATGAAATGACTAAGAAAGATTGGGTGATGAGAAATTTGTTTAGAATTCAATATGATCAAAAAGATAGATTTCGTATTTGATTGAAAAATATTACATGAAAATACATAGATTTCATTTAAAAATAGATTTCATATAATACATGAAATAGCATCTATCTATATTAAAAATATAAACAGAAAAGGACTATTTTTTCATAACATGACAAATTAAAATTTAAATTTTTACTGAGAGAGGGACTTACATTTAGTGCTCAACTATGTGTCAAACAAGATTGCCTCCAATAAGAATTTAGTTGTGAATAATAAAAAATAAAAATATATATAAACACATCATCATGCGCTAAATATATATGTCCTTGTAGATATGTTTATTTTCAAGAGTAATTGAAAAATTTGAGTCTGACTAGTCCCATACTGCAACAAGCCAAAAAAATTAAAATAAAAATATAGGAAAGAAACAATGATGGATTAAGTTTAGCCAAATCATGAAACTTGAAATTGTGCAAGAATTTTTTTTAATTATTTTAAGAGTGCAAAATCATACATTATAATTTTGTATGAAAGAATAATTGTCTCATACGGTTACATACACTACAAAAAATAATCATCTTAATTAGTATCGTATATCATAATCCACATAGAAGACTAATCATCCCCGCCATACATAGTATCCTAATCTTCTTTTCAATCAAATATCACAAAAATTTTAAAAAATTTAGTATCCTTCCTTTTGGGATCTTTTTTTCTTTTTGAAAATAAAATGTCTGTGAAAATAAGGTGGGAAGTTTTCATTTTTGTAAAATTATTGTGAATATTTTATCAATAAATCTTTGAGTGCTACATAGGTAAATATATTTAATACCTAACCATGTTTCAAATAAGATTGCCTCTTCAATAGAAAAATACTTATAAGCAATTAAAAAGAAAAAAAAAAGAAACTCATTAAACCTTTTAATTCAACCGTGATTTCATTAATTTTATTTACTTATTAACAATCAATCAAAATCAATTGCATATTTTGAGATTTTTTTTTTTCTGGCCTACGAAATTTGGAGATGTAAAAATTTAAGGATTTGATAAGTTTTTTTTTTATAATCTGGGAATAAAGTGTAAATAAGATAATATATTCACATAGATCCATTATAAATATTCTAAACCCCCCCCCCCAATTTATAAACATGAATTTGATTTATTAAAATTCTAGCTAAACTTGTCAAGTTGTAAAATTAACAATAACAATTAATTATGAATACTAATATGTTTACATAAATAATAAAGTTAGAGAAATAATACCCTCACATAGATGTGAAAAATAGATCCATTATTCCACAATTTCAAAATACAAATATGAATATATCAATATATAACTATACGAGTGTTGAATGTTTCAACAAACATTTTCTAAACTTGATGTTTATGAATTGTTTTTCCAACTTTGTAATTGTTAAAAATTGTAAAAATATAAATTTTGGTTAATGAAAACCATAAGCCATTGGATGACTTGTTTTATCCTCACGGAATGTCAGCCGTCGGAATCAAAACAAAAAAAATGGAGAGCAAACAAAAAATATCACATAGTATCCTAGTTCCAGGATTTTCCCATGGAACCAAACAAAAAATGGAGAGCAAGATACCTTTGGAACGGCGTTGTCGAATTCCTTGGTATGAGCAGTGTAGTTTCTACTGACAAAGACAAACTAGAAATTTGAATAAGAACAAAGCCAGAATATGAGTAACCAACCACATCATTTTCGCAACAGAAATGAAATTGAATACCTTCAAATTCATCGCCCACTTCAGGCGTACGTGTCCCAGCCTTCACCTTTCTTGAGGAGCTTTTTTACTTGCTGATCTCCTTCTCTCCAACATTTAAGGCTGGTGCCATCGTTAGAGAGATCAAAGTCATCGTTCATCTTCTTCATCAAGGGCATATCAAAAACCCTCATCCACCTGTGGCACGAGAATCTAGGAACACGAAGATTTTTCATTTCAAATCTAACGATTGAAATCCATAGTTTAAAAAATTTTAAATAAAAAAAGAGAGATAAATTGAGATTCAAAATAAAAATTAAAATGAAAAATTTATTTTTATTTTTTAATCGATAAGAGATGAGAAAAAATACAAGAGTCATATAAGTATCAATAGTAAAAACAGAAAGAGAACAAGATATTTGAAGTGACTATAATTTTAAATAACAGGGTGTAAATGAAACTTAAAATTACAAAAGAATTATAATTTAAAATAGATTTAAATTTAAATTAAATTTAAATTCATAAATTTTTGCATATTCAAGTGAGAGATTTGGTTTAAATCAAAGTTCTCGTTAATTAAAACACACCAAGAAAATTTTAAATCTAGCCAAGAATCATATTAATAAGTTAAGATTCTAAAAAGTCCATTTTATATTTTAACAAGTCAACAAGATTGATTAGGTAGTAGGTATTGCTAACAAGTTACACTAATAAATTAACAAACTATGTGTAGGAAAAATAACAACTTAAATTAAGATTTTAACAAGAGTTAAGGTGCACAGATATCCATAAAATACTTTGTAAGGAGCCACTGGCATCCTTAATTAACTCAAGTATGGTGCAATTTTACTTATCAACTCTAAAAATTGATGGAAAAATTTTAAATATGTAATAGAGACCTGATGTTTGTTAAAATGATGGGTCTTACATGCTATACTGCGTGTAAATGAGCTAAAGGCAAAAATATATATTAAGTACTAAATTATGGTGTAATTTTGCCCATCATCCTAAAAACGATACAAAGCCCAATTTATAACAAACATACTAACGCAAGCATTGATCATGAATGTACTCCTAACTCTCTTTTCTCTTCTATCCAATTTAGTTCAAACTCCCTTTCCTCTCCTTCTAACTAGAGAATGTGATAAAATAAAATATTGCGTTTAGGGTTCTTGCTATTTAAGACAAATATGAACACATGTATTGCTTATTTACACATTAGGTCAAATAAAATTTCAATTTCATTTTTACATTCACGGTCAATGTTTGCTAACACATGTCTTTGTTTTAGATTAGTGATTTTTTCATATTTTTTTAGGGCTTTAGGCAAAATTGCACTATAATGTAGTACATGATGGATATTTTTGCCCCTAACTCATCTATACTTGGCAAATATATGAGACCCACGAACCTTAACTAACTTTTGAGAATTTAGTTTATGCTATATATAAGATTTTGCATTATATAATCAAGAAGTATCATTACATTGTTATAAAACTTTTCGGTGAATCAATAGGTCATAGGTTCAAACATCCTTTGCTAATTAGGAGAATTTTTTCCT